CGGCAACCCTTAATGACGGCAGTGGAGAAAAGCCCTCGGGTCGTCCACTGCCCGATGCGTCGACCAATTTTCGACCCAAAAGAAACTACTCGTTATGGAATATGGAATGTACGGACTCTGTACCAAACAGGTAAATTGGCCCAGCTTCTATATGAATTTGACTTGTACCGTATGGACATCTTGGGCATCTCAGAAATGCGATGGGCAGGAAGCGGGAAGATGGTTAGTGATGGAAAGATGGTGCTCTACTCTGGCCATGCCCAAGATCATGCACGTGGCGTGGGCTTCATCCTCTCGCGACGTGCAACAACATCATTGCTGGCCTGGAAGCCCATTTCAGACCGTCTAATCTTGGCTCGTTTCCAAGCTAGGCATGTGAAAGTCACAATTCTTCAAGTATATGCTCCAACGGAAGAGGCTGACGATACTGACAAGGATGGTTTCTATGCGATGCTCCAGGATGCCATTGACAACTCCCCGCGTCATGATTTGCTGATCGTGCTGGGCGGAGATTTCAACGCGCAAATAAGCAGTAACCGGGATGGCCTGGAATCGACTATTGGCCCGTTTGGAATCGCAGCAATGACAAATGAAAACGGTGGGCGGCTGATCTCGTTCTGTGCGGCAAACCGGCTGACCATCAAGAACACCTTCTTCGGCCACAAGCGGATACACAAGGCGACGTGGAAGGCCCCCGGTGGCAGATATACAAGCGAGATCGACTACATCTGCATATCATCCCGCTGGGCATCCACCATTAGCGATGTTAGAGTGTGGCGTGGAGCCGACATTGACTCTGATCACTACCTGCTAATTGCCAAATGTAAACTTCACCTGAAGCGCCTCAAACCACGACTGCAGTGGCCAAGTCCTTTTAACGTTCAACGCCTAAAAGATGCAAATACGGCAGCGGAATTTCAAATCGAATCGAGAAACCGCTTCCAGCTCCTTGCTGCGGAAGGAAATAACAACAAAAATCCAGATACACTCCGGGATGAGCTAAAAGAAGCTGTGGTCGATGCAGCAGAATCGAAGATTGGTCGCCGACGGGGCAGCTTTAAGGAGCGCTGGATCTCCGACCGTTCATGGGAACTTATAGATCAACGTCGCTTGGCAAAATCAGTTCGGGACCAGGTGGCCTTTGACCCACATGCTTCTGCAGACCAGCGTGAGAGGGCCATGGCCACCTACCAAGACCTTGCCCGACAGGTCAAACGCAGCTGCCGGCGTGACAAGCGTAAATGGATCGAAGCTAAAGGCATCGAAGCCCAAGAAGCAGCCGATCGGAACAATACCCGAACCTTATATCGCATTGTACGAGATCTAACTGGGGCTCGTGGTGGCCGCGGTGTTCCAATCCGAGACAAAAATAGACATGTCCTCCTTACTGCAGCTGAACAAGACCAACGATGGGTCAAACACTTCCGCGATACTCTGAACCAACCTGAGCCATCCCAACGGTTCGAGGCCGAAGACCTGACACCTTCCATGGATCTTCTTCCTGTCGATATCGGACAAATCAGCATCACTGAAGTCAAGACAGCGATCCAACTCCTCAAGAGTGGAAAGGCCGCAGGCCTGGACGAAATCCTCGCCGAAATGCTGAAGCATGGCGGACCCCATCTTGAAGCCGCCCTTACAAGACTCCTAAACGCCTGCTGGTCAACATCACATGTA